GGGAAAGGGGGGGGGGGGTGTAGATGGTTTATCTCAACCTTCTGTCCCCCAGGCTAAATTCTAACAAAGTCCAGCACATTCAAACTTACTACTGATATATCCTTTTACAGAAACCAGCATGGGGCTGTTATAGCTCAGCTGGTCAAGGAATGTCTTTTTTATTTTAACCCCTTACTGACTTTACAGGAGTGCAAGGGGGGCATCGTTGGCGCGGGAAGGGTTAACAAGAGCGGCTGAGAAGACATGCCATGGTCTGAGGACCCATGCGGTGACTTAACTGGGTGCACTGTGGTGGAAAAAAAATCCTTTTCACCCGCTGAATAGTTTCCGCCTGGAATTCAGCGGTGGAGGAGTTAATGATATAATTGCTGGTGGCTGGGCTTATGAATGGGGATGTCCTTAGCTGTGGCTGCGGGAAGGAGTAGACATGCAATACCTCTCATATTCCATTCCTCTACTTTTGCATAGCAGTTCCCCCAGCAGTGTATGTCCTCCCGTCCTCACCTAAAGGTCTGCAAGACCCCCCTTCCCATATACACCAGCACCACCTTGGACTCCACCTGTTGTCATAATGATAGATGTCACGGGTCAGGCAGGCCTAGTCAGGAATGTACAATATGAAAGTACAAGGAAATACCAAACGCTCCAAAAAAGACTTTATATACTGTAACTAACTTATCTCCTTTATGCCCTCCAATAGCAATACTATCATACTTGCCAACTGCCCTCCATGTCCAGGTTTGCCCTTAAAATCCAGGCCCTTAAAATGTCCCTGTTTTTAACATTTGACCAATAATATCATAAAAGTTCTATTTTTCTCTATTGCAGATTTGTATCTCTTTTTTTTCTCTATTGCAGGGCTGTTTCTTTTTCTTCCCTGGTAGCAATACTTCTCTAACTAGCCAACTGCCTTCAATTTCCAGGTTTAACTTGATAAATCCTTTGAAATCTCAGTCCTTCAAAATGTCCCCGTTGTTCAGATCTGACCAGTTATATCATAAAAGCTCTTCTTACTCCATTACAGATTTGTATCTCTCTTTTTCTATTGGAGATGTTCATCTCTTTTTTTTCTCTATTGCAGATCTGTATGTTTTTTTTTTCCTTCAATAGCAATACTATCATACTACAAATATCCTTGATTTTGCTTTTTTTTCCTCCACTGCATATTTGTTTCTTTTTTTTCCTCCGGTAGAAATACTTTTCTAACTAGCCAACTGCCCTCAGTTTTCCAAGTTTGCCAGATAGGTCCCTTCAAATCCCAATCCCTTAAAATGTCCCTTTTTTGAGCAGCTGTATCATAAAAGTTCTATTTTCCTCTATAGCAGATTTGTATCTCATTTTTTTTCCCTAGTAGCGATACTTTTCACACTTGCCAACTGTCCTCGATGTCCAGGTCTGCCAGACAATGCCTTGCAATCTCAGTCCCTTAATATGTCCTTGTTTAAAAGATTTGACCAGCTATACTATAAAAGCTCTTTTTTTCTTTTTTACACATGCGGCTTATTGATTATTGATAATCCTGTCTGTTTATTCATTACTAATAGGCAGCCTTTGCCTTTGCAATGCTCATCAAGCTGGTTATACCCCTTCGAGCAGAACTCCAGGATTTTCAAAAATGAACCCTTGCAGTGGGGCTACCCCTGCACTGAAAGGGTTAAGTGCTCATTTTGTCTAGGAGCTGAAATAAAGAAGGGATAGTCATCCTCGGCCCCAACTGGCTGCTGGACCGGACCCTGCTGTCTCTTTTCCCCCGGGGTCTGGTGGTCTAAGGACCCGTGACGTCCTCACATCTAATACAGGTGCATTAGACGTGAGGACGTCGAGGGACATACCACAGCCGAAGTGGAGGGAAGAAAGGTGAGAGGTCACCGTCACAAGATCGAGGATCGGTTGAGTGTATCTTCTTTATTTCATTCCCAAGACCACAAGGAGCACTTATCCCTTGGAATGCAGGGCTAGCTGCACTGCAAGGGTTAACGTTTAAAAATCCTGGATATGTGCATTAAGATTTTTCTTGTTGGGTCCGGCAAGCTGAACAAGAAAAATCACTCGATTTCCCATTAATGTTAACAGTATGGAGGAATCTCCCCTGCTGGCTATTGTTAGTGCTCGCGGCTGTCAGAATACCTGACCAGTGACTGTATCTGTTTGGCTGCA